ACCAATCAATAATCTCGACTCACCACTTAGCTATCTCGACTCTCGAACAAACATCAAGCTTCATGCGGGAGAGATGACACAAACACACAAAAACTCAAATAAAACCGGTCCACGACACGAAAAATAAGACACCAAAACGAAGAAAATATCACCTAAACATGCGTAATCACGAAAATCCCTCCCCCACACTTAAAACAAAGCAATGTCCTCATTGCTTGACCAAAAAGCATAGGATCGAGCACACAATCACACAAGTTCATGCAAAAAACAAAATGAAACTCAATAAACGAGCACACGAAAGAAAAACAAACACAAGAACACACAAGAAACAACTAAAGAAAAAGAAAATAGGAAAAGAAAATGCGTACTCTACACGGTGGTGCACCACCGTGTGTCTAATGGTGTTCGTCCGGTGGGAATAGAGAAAATAATCCAAAAGCCATCGAGCTCAAAATGAAGCCATCCAAACGATTGGGCATTGAACCAATAAAACCATACGGGCCATATGTATGTGTCTCGGAGAAATGATATCCGTGCTTCCATGAACTCGACGAAGACACACGTATACGTTAAAGCTCAAAATCTCGTGTATATAACATGCAAAGTATAAGAAAATCCCATCTGTCGGCTCCGAATAAAAGCCATGTGTATGCATCTCGGAGAAATAATAACTGTGAATTCATAAACTCGACGAAGATGCACTTATGCGTGAAAGCTCAAAATATCGGGCCACTGGGCCGTCAACGATACCCGCAATAATATAACACAACCAACTCCTCTTTTGAATCAAAGCACAAATCGATTACCGGCGCTTGTCGTAAGTAGAAACCTACAAACTCAAGAATCCGACAACAACATGAAAATTGGCACGCCCGGCAAGACGTGCCTACCACACAAGTCTAACCCACATAATGTATCACGACTACTCCAGCAAGAGTAGTAATCAAGCACAATGAAGATAATGCAAATATGAAAATACAAAGCAAGTTCGAGGCGTTGTACCTTGAAAAACGTCGAGAAAAACAGTTGCCGGAGTGTATAAGTAGAGAGATAGGTGAAAGTGGAGCTCCGGTCGCCGGAAAATGTACCCAACGATAGGATTCGATGGTATATGACAAGAAAAGCTCAAAAATACTAACCGGAAGCTCGGTGGGTGCTCATTCGCCGAAAACAATGGTCACCGGAAAAGTTCGCCGGATTCCGGCGACGGTGGCCAAAAAAGGTGAGCCTCGGCGAGAGGAGTCCGGGGGTGCCTTCGGATTTTAGTGGGTCCAAGTGAGTCGCCGGCAATTTGGATTTGAGGGGTTTGATTTAAGCTAAACTAATCTACGAAATTGAGAGCATTGAAAGCAATTAGAGCACGCAAGAAGATAAGAGAAATCAAGGGGGAAAGAGAGATTTTGGTTTGAACCTAAAAATGACTCGACTAACCACATAAAACACAAGAAAATAAACACAAAAACATAACAAACACTGAGTCATCGAATGACACAACCAATATAATTATATAGACTTTTTTTCACAAATGGTGTCTTGACATGTATATTCAAATAGATATACTTAGAAGTTAGAAGTTAGAACACGCATCAATACATGAATTCCTGGATGGCTCAGAAGATAGTCAGTTGTGTTATTTCAACATATGCACGCATTTCTACACTCAAACGTCGTATTTTAAAATATAACGTAAACAAAAGTATTACTTTACTATTAGAAAAAAAATCAAAAAAACAAAAATAATCACAATTCAAATCTAACTCAACTTCACTATCATCAATATTATTAATATAATTAGATAATATCAATCAACTTTCCCTACACATCATATCAACTTTAATTCACTAGTCATCAATTCACATAATTTTAACTAGATATCACTTTTAATTACATCTCTCCTACTTTCACATCAAATCATTTTTAATTATTTTATTTTATATATATTGTAATACAAATTTAAAATCTCATTCAAACCTAATCGAACCAATTTTATCAAAATTAACTATGGCTAACAAAGTATTAGAATCTTAGACTTCTTATGAAGGACTCACAGGTGAGGGGGCGCATTAAAATATTCACTTGTGAGTTGTCCCACATGTTGGGATCTATGAGGATCTCGTTATGTACAAATCACAAATTCAATAGCAAAACGTAAACCTATGTGCAGCGGATCTAAAGGTTGCACAGAGAACTTACGGCTTAAAAATTTTGGCGATCTGGGTGATCTTCTAAATGGCCGTACAATCACACGAACTGGATTGTATTACGAATGGAATGTCGGGCTCACAATCGAATCACATGTGTCAGGCTCGGGAGTCGCCGGTTTAGTCGTTGGGTTGCCGGTTCGCGGGTCGCGGGATCGCCTGGTTGGTCGCACGTCCTCATCGCGGCTCCGGTTCATGGCGGCTTGCGATGGCTCACGGCTGGTCCGGTTCGTCTGCGGCGGTCGGCGGTCCTCGGGCTTGGCTTGTGGATCGTCGATTGCTGTAGAAGATTATTGCGTCTCGAACACCTACTGATCTTCTACTCTATATCTCTTACTTCCTCTTCTCCTTGTACCGGTGGAACAATAAAAAGAAGATAAAGCTCGAATGAGAACTGAGAGAGAGAGAGAGAGAGAGGCGTGTGGCGTGGGGCGCAAGATTATGATCTTGTCTTCTCTTCCCATGAGCTTAATAGTGTATATATAGAGCTACAGTAGGGACCCTTAGGAGATTAGGAGAAGGACTCCTTAATTAATTAAAATACTTGTGGGTTAGTCCACTTATTCTAATTAATTAAATAATATTAAATAGGTCACGGACATAATATTATTGTACTCTCTTTTCCTAGCCCAATTTACAATTGAGACTCCAATAATAATTACTCGATTTATCTCTCCATGTTTAAGATATAATGTCCATTAATTAATTCGATCACTGACAATCAATAATTAATTAATTTATTATTATTTCACCGAAACTAGCGCTCGTTCATCACATCATTACTATGCCGGAATTTAATCTACCTGCAGGATTTAGCATAATAATCCTTCATGAACTCACTCCGGTGACATCATCAAACTAACGCACATGGTGACCGTAAATATCCTAACAACACATCTTACATGTAGCAATATTACCCAAGACACAGGGTCTATTGGTCCAGTTCACTAAACCTCACCCATGTGAATCAATGTAATAAGTACTACACATATATGCTTGTTTAATATCTTACGGGTTAACAGTACGCAGTAATTAACCGAGGTCTAGTTCGTTTACGACGATCAGTACAAAACGAACTGCTCTTCTGTGGATCTTGTTCAATACATAAATGTACTAGTGCAACTAATTAGTCAAGACAAATTGTACGGTTGACACTACAACCACTCTGATGGGGTGTTCATGTCCATTTGAACCATTAATTCTTGTTTCGCGAGTAACTGATAGTATGATCTTCGGTTCGCCCGATGACGACCCACGCTATCTAATGCAAAACAACAGAACGTAGAACTTGTTTAATCTAACATGTTTCTCATTCATAAAGGATAAAAGTGTAATATCATCCAAAGCCAAACTTTCAGTATATAACACTAACACCACATCGTTTATATGGAGTAAATATGTCTAATTTATAAGTCTATTGGGTTACTCCTCCTTCCACCAATTGGTTTTGGGATGGAACCTCACTTGGGCTTCATCTGGCTTTTTCTGTCTTGGTGCGCTTCATATACGTGGGATCGCACACGCTTTTCCCTCCGTTTCTTACAACATCTCCACCTTGATGTACCCGTTTCCCAGACATTGAGCGTAAATGGGTTGTAATTGTATAGCGGTATCTGAAAACATATATTGGGGATGGCCATTAGAGGCAAGCCTTCATACTCAACCGAGTGAACACCATCCACACACACTCTGGAGAGTTAGCTGATGCTGATCTAGTAGTGTCAAAGAGGCGATTCTCAACAACTTCAACAGCAAAGACCATAGTAGAGCAAGGAAGAGTCCGTCCCTTGAGATCGTCTTGCGATGATAGAGCAGCGGTTGCGTCTTCCTACCTTGCAGCCCATTTGGGCTTGGGCACCAATTCTATTGGGAACCGTGCGATGATGTACCCGTTTACCTAGCACATTTCTAGTCGGGCTTGGACACCCGGCTCCGTATATGGGCTTGGACTTCTTATGAAGGACTCAGAAGCGAGGGCAATATTAGAATATTCTTCACTTGTGAGTTGTCTCACATCGTTTATATAGAGAAAATAGGTCTAATTTATAAGTCTAGTGAGCTACTCCTGCGTCCAACAATTGGTTTTGGGATGGAACCTCACTTGGCTTCATCTGGACTACTCTGTCTTCGTGCACTTCATTTGCGTGGGACCGCACCCGTGATCCCTTCGTTTCTTATGCAAAAAAAAAAATAAATTATAAACAATCATGCCCTCACCATTTAGACAGCCTTGGTTTATGTTTTTACTTCAAAACCGATTTCCTACACGCAAGTCAATAATGCATTAAATAGAAATTTCGTTGAAATTACCGTCATAGTGATACCTCTATCAACTTATCCATGAGTCCACCTTTGTCCACAAGAATTATTTTTTTATTATTAAATTTTATAATTTTTTGTTTTTGGTTTCTACACAAAATTTTCCAGGAACTTTGACCTAATTAGACCCCAAATTTCCGAACTATTCCATGGCATTGTCCACAACATTCCCACTAATTCAGATATGAGCCCCAAAATTCTTCACTTATGTACACTTCAACAATGTTTTATGACGAGATCTGGCAAATATCATTTCAACAATTGTTATTTTTTGCATCAAATCATTATAGATGAAATTGAGAATTTCTTTTTAAATGTTCAATTTCTCCCCCCAAAAATTATCAGCCAAATTTAAGGGCCGCTGGGGTAAAATACAAATTTCCAATATTTTCGGGCCACCCCAACACGTGCCGTGCAATATAGAAAACTCAGGGGGCGGGAATGTAAAAATAGATTAGACGGGTGCCAATTTGATAGTCAATGGACTGGGAATTGGGGGTGGATTGGAAGACGATGGGGGAGACAAGGGGCCTTTGTGAAAATTACTTTTTGGGGCTATTCGTCCAGGTCGAGATGAGTCTGGAGGAAATTAAGGAGATTTTTGGGGTGTTTGATGCAAATGGAGATGGGTACATAGATGGGCGTGAGTTGCAAAGAGTTGCTCAATACTTGGGGTTGAAGTACAATTTGGAAGAGTGCGGTAGGAAGATTGCAATATTCGATTGCAACGGAGATGAGCTTATTGATGTTAGGGAGTTTGTTAAATTGATGGAAAAATGCCTTTGTTGAGAGGAAGAATTAAGAAAATATTATTTACTTGGGCACAATGCTTGTAGTGTACATTATATAAATATTATGAGCTGATTTTATATAGTAGATGTTTAATAACTCTTTTCTGGAATGATCGATTTTTTTACGGACGCTCACTCATAAAACCATATGATTGTTTGTTGATCTAACGGTTAAACAGATTTTCCAGATAATACAATATGTTTAATGATTTTTTCGGGTGTGTAATTGAAAGATTCGATCCTATTATTTGAGGGCGGACCGAGCTTTTTGCGCACGCTCACTCTCACACTCATATTGATCCAACGATAAAAATAATATTCTTTAGAATAAAAACAATTTTTCAATATCATTTACTCCGTTTAATGTGCTCTCTTTTTTTTTTTTTTTAGCGAGACGGTTGGAGCTACTGGATTTGGGCTATTTCGATGTATTTTTTGGGGCTTTAATTTTCTACTCCCATACTATTTTATGGGCTTTAATTTGTTTTAAACGACTGGTCATCTATTTTACCAAAACTATTAAAAATGATCTGTTTAACTGGGTTGGGCTTAACATAGAAATGCCAAGTGAGTCCAACTAACAATAAATGGATCTCAAACCCATTTGGACCCAAACCCTATCTAAGTGAACCTTCTTGAATTTATGTTGGAGTCTTGGAGAACGTTTGGTTTAGGTGATGTATATCATTTAAAATTTTAGACAACCTTTTTAGAATTTAAGGAATTCATTTAATATTTTTATTATTAAGAATATTAAAAATTACAAGTATTCAATTTTTTTTTATCATTACTTGATTTTGGGATTTGTCCAGAAGTATTAAGACTTGTCTGCTAGTTAGAATTTATTCTACTATCAAAACTCCTCTCAAAACTTAAAAAAAAAATTTCTATCGTCACTATGGATGACACATCAATATGTTTGCGTAACAAAATTGTATGATATTGTGTTTTTAAATTTTATATTACAAGTCAAATTATAATATTCACAAAAAAAAAAAAAAAAAAGTATTATACGAAAAATCCCGTTATTGGTGAATGGTTTTGGAAATATGTCTGTAGAAATTATGTTTAGTAAAACTAACTGATAAATTAGCTGATAGTTGCTAAATTAGTTGATAGCTTATGAGTAAATTTCGAGCTTATAACTGATAACTTATGTCTTATGGCTGAAAAACTAGATGTTATCATAAGTGTTGAGTAAAATTAGCTGATAATTAAGCCAACTGAAATAAAAATTTCAACGGACTTATTTGAAATGTTATCCAAAGAATGCTTATGATATAAGACCGAACTCTTTGAAAAAACAAAAAAAATCATTCTACCTAATCGAACTTATGTTTATACAAAAAAAAAAAAAATTATAAGCAAATCGGATAAATTATATATGATATAAGCTAGTTTATGATGTTTGCCAAAATAATCGTAATATTATTAGCTCTAATAAGGAAATTCATACCATAGGAATTTAATATTGGACCTTCTTTACCCAAGTACGTACTTCTATTGACTTGACTTTCAAATTTTTCAATAGGATAAAAAAACTTTAATTATTTGCCTAACTGTCCTGTGTTGACCAATTCCCAATTCACAATTGGTCAAACTATGTGTCATACTCTCTACCTATCACACTTTTAATGTTTGCAGCAAACCCCTGCAAACGTGTACATATTATCCTTTCCTATATTAAATTTCAATTTTTTTCAATAATTTGTGGTGTGTATGATGGTTTGTAGTACTATGTAAGTATAACGTTTAGTTAATTAATACCAGTGTATCACTACTAGTGGTGTAAATGAGCCGAGTTCGAGTTCTTAACGAACCAGTAATCAAGTTCGACTCGTCAATAAATAAAAACGATCCAATTTATAGAAAATTATTGTATAAGAATCTCTCTTTTCGAGTCTTATCATCGACACTAACCGAGCCCGAACTCGTCAACTAACAAGCTTAAAACATGGTCGAGTTTGGCACATTTACTTTAGGTAAAATATCATCATCCACACATGCGCATGGCATGAACTACTCACAATTCAGAATCTTCTGCTGAGTCAAAGGATTTGTTAAAACAGTTACCTTATTCAATGCAAATAATAATAATAATAATAATAATAATAATAATAATAATAATAGTAAGGCAAAATTGGCCTTAATATGAAGACCTTTTTCGAAACTGCATTTTAATCACGTGTTTTACTTTTGTAAGTTGTAACACACTTTTCAGTTTGTTACAAACCGGTGCACCAATTTGCAAAAGATAGAAATTATTGAAAATGATATGTAGATAAAAATTTCAGACGAGTGAAAGTAAATTAAAATTGATGGGTGAATATCATTAATTAATATTATTTATATTTATGATATATAGAATAGTTGTATTTGATTAAAGTGAGTTGAATTCTGAATAAATAATATAAAAAAATTATCGACTCAGTCGAAACTGAATAAAATCTATAACCAGTCACCCCCTAGCATTGCAATATTTAGGGCGTGCTTGGATACAAATATATTCGCTCAAAATTAATTTTTTTTTTGTTTTTTTGTAAACTAGTTGAGTTAATTTTGTAACAAGATGTCATGATTGATTGTTATTGAGATTTTGAATGTTATATTTAAAAATATTTAAAATAAAATAATTAAAATTAATTTGACGTAAAAATATGAGGTAAATGACATGAAGTGATAGTTTGTTAAAATTATATGAGTCAATGAACAATGAATGAAATTCGATGAGATTTGTACGAACGATTGGTTGACATTATATATTTATATTGATAATACGGAGAATAGTATGATTAATTTAAAATTAAATCAGATTTTAAGTTCATGAATTTATTTAAAACACTCTTAGTATAGTACTAGTCCCCATGTAAATTAAATTAAATTAAAATGTCCAACAAACAAAAGAACTAAACTAAGAAATTTCTCTAGCAAAATGAGAGAGGCTTAACATGGTTCAATATCAAGTTATTCTCTACCCAAAAAAAAAAAAATGATACTTTCATTCATTTTCATTCATATGTTCACAAAGCCCCAACACCAAGAAAATCTATAAAAGGTGGAGGTACATTATCCTCGCCGGCCGATATTTCCATCGGCGAAGCCTCCCGAGCCACAGACGAGCCGAAAAATTCCGGCATTTGCACGGCAAACGGATAACTCGAATTGCGGTAATTATTATACGATTCAGATTCCATACCCCATTGATTTTTACTGCCACTGCTGAAAACGCTCATCATATCATGACTTGTACTAGCACTGTGAAAACCTGCACCAAAATTTATATAAGTGTAAAAAAAAAAGGACCAAAAAAAACAAAATATTATGAGCCAAAAAAGATCCTCCTCTGATGAGCAAAAAGATTTTATGGAAGTGTTAATGGAAAAATAATGGTACTATGGATATTGACAGTTGAGCAGCAAAGGGTTGTTTTTTTTTTTTT